TCTCACTATGTTGCCCAGGATGGTCTGGAACTCCTGGCCTCAAAGTGATCCTCCCGCCTCTGTCTCCCAAGTGCTGAGATTACAGGCGTGAACCACCACACCTGGCCTCGTATACTCTGTTCGCCCCCCACCCGTATTATACACTTAAACTTTGTTTATAGAGAATGTTTTTCTTCTGCAAGCCTCAGAGCACTTAACTGTTCCGAGTTGGCCATTATATTCCAGAGAGATAAATGTAGTTAAATGACTGAAATTAGAATGTTTGAGCTTTAAACAAAAAGAGTGATTTATAATATTAAGACATTAATTTTATAGGCCATTATATAACAATAAAATAAATACATTTATTTAAAAATGTAAAAAAAAAAAAAAACTATTCAGGGTAGGTAAGAGTTCTTATGTCTGAAAAGATCACCTTTAAAAAGTTCCAGCTTTTATGAAAAGCAAATGGATTCAAGTAAGCAGTTAACTACCCTTATAAGACCTAAAGTTTGATTTAAAAGAAACATTTTAAGAACTACATCGATATAGTTTGGAAGCCTGCTAAAGTGGTTTGAAGGAGAAGCTAGCTATCATGTTTAAACTCAAAAGATTGTTATTGCCATTATTTTGATCGAATCTGTTTCTCTAGTGTTATAATCATATTTTATTTATTTATTTATTTATTTTTGAGGTGGAGTCTCACTCTGTCGCCCAGTCTGGAGTGCAGTGGCGTGATCTCGGCTCACTGCAACTTCTGCCTCCCGAGTTCAAGTGATTCTCCTGCCTCAGCTTCCCGAGGAGCTGGGACTACAGGCGCCCACAACCATGCCCAGCTAATTTTTTTTATTTTTAGTAGAGACGGGGTTTCACCGTGTTAGCCAGGATGGTCTCGATCTTCTGACCCCGTGATCCACCCGCCTTGGCCTCCCAAAGTGCTGGGATTACAGGGGTGAACCACCGCACCCAGCCATATAATCAGATTTTTATTGATTTTAGAGAAAAGGACATTTTCATGTAACTGCTTAGAAATCAAGCAGTTTTCTATTGTATAGAGTGAAAATCAAACTTGTTTATTGTACAAGTCTTTAAAGGGATAGTTAGGAGTAAATTGTATTTGCTGAATATATAGACCTCATTTATGACCATTAATGATCCTGTATTTTTGAATTATTACTGAGTGATTGATAAATCTTTTTATATAATTAGCTGAAACTCAAGCATCATTGTTTCAATAAAATGAAATAGACAGGGAGCTTAAGATATCAGTTTAAGATATAACTCCAACAAATTTTCTTTCTATAGGAGGGTAATGCTAAAAATTCTAATTATATAACTCCCATTTTCTGGATTGTATATGCTAAATATGTTGTATTTCTAGGGTAGTTAAGTGAAGTTTTTATGTAACAACTGAATATCTTGAGTTGGTCCAGAGGATTAAAAAAAGTAATTACCAGTAAAGATGTCAACTACTACTCTATGTAGAAGCCCTCTTACAGCATTTACTTGATGAAAAAATAATGACTGATAACAGAAGCCCAGTTTATCTAAGACAGTTTTGGGAAAAAAGACATAAGCTGTTATAGTTGTTAATATGCAGCACTTAAGAGTTTTTTTCCAGATACATATTTTAAGGGTACTAATTATGTTTGCATATAGTCATATTTAGGAAATGCCTTAATGTACAGGGTGTGAATTATAAACTAGGATTTTAGGATATCACTCTGTAGATGACAGGAAATGATTTATTCTTATTTTTATTTTTGTTTTTTTTTGTAGAGATAGGGTCCTGCTATGTTTACCAGGCTAGTCTCGAACTCCTAGCTTCAAGCAATCCTCCCTCCTCGGCCTCCCAAAGTGCTGGGATTATAGGCGTGAGCCACGTTCCCAGCCATGAAGTATTTTTTAGATTGAATCATCAGCTGCATTGACTTTAATATTACCTCTATATTTTTTTTAAACATAGCTCTGTATAGTTATTTGCTTGGAAGAAAAACTAAAGATGTGAGAATTAATGGATAGAATTTACTTAATCCTCTGTCCTGATGCATAAACTAAACCCTGGAGACGCAAATCTGAAATAATCTGATTACCATTCTTCCTGAGCATCATGACAGTTGCACAGGCTTCAATTATTTTGGTAGATTCAAATTGTTTTTTGAAGGAACTTACCAAAGATATATAGCAGGATATAATTTAAAACAAAAATAATCACGGGTGATACACTCATGTTACCAGAATTCTGAATACATGTTTGACTGTAGTTCTTTGACCTGTGTTTCCTAGGAAATCAAAAAAGGCAACCTGATACGAGAATTTGAGATTTTTCCTCCAGGAATTCTTACAATAACATCGATTAGGCTGGGCGCAGTGGCTCACACCTGTAATCCCAGCACTTTGGGAGGCCGAAGCGGGCGGATCACGGGGTCAGGAGTTCGAGACCAGCCTGGCCAACATGGTGAAACCCCGTCTCTACTACAAATACAGAAATTAGCTGGACATGGTGGCTTGCACCTGTAATCCCAGCTACTCTGGAGGCTAAGGCAGGAGAATCACTTGAACCTGGGAGGCGGAGGTTGCAGTGAGCCGAGATTATGCCACTGCGTTCCAGTCTGGGTGACAGAGCAAGACCCCGACTCAAAAAAACAAAAACATTGATTATAGTTAGACTTTACTTTGATTTTTATTCATTTATTCAACAAATATTTATTTAGTCCCGCTTTATGCCCAGCACTTTTTTGGGTGCTAGGAATACAGCATTGAAGAAAACATACAAAATATCTTCTCCCGTGGTGATCGCCAGAGATGATTTAGAAAATTATTCTTTTGTGTTTTATTGTTGTTCTTTTTTTTTGGAGATAGGGTCACCCAGGGGCTGGAGTGCAGTGACAGGAACACAGCTCACTGCAGCCTTGACCTTGTGGGCTCAAACAATCCTCCCACTGCAGTCTCCGAGTAGCTGGGACTACAGGCATGTCACCATGCCCGGCTACTTTTTGTTGTTGTTGTTCTTTTTTTTTTTTTTTCACTTATTTTCATTCAGAGCTATAATTTTTACATTTTTTGTAGGGATGAGATCTCACTATGTTGCCCAGGCTGATCTTGAACTGCAGGGCTCAAGTGATTCTCCTACCTTTGCCTCCCAAAGTGCTGGGATTACAGGCATGAGACACTGTTCCCAGCCCTTTGTTGTTCTTGATTGACTTGGTGGTAATACTATTGATGTGTGTCCTATTCAATGGCATATACACACACACACATGCATATGTATATATACATATACATATATACACATACATGTATAGATACACATATGTATTTGTACATATACACATACATATATGTGTATATACATATATGTGTATATATGCCACTGAATATATATATACACATATGTGTGTGTATTGTATATATGTATATACATATGTATATTGTATATATGTATATACATATGTATATGTATACATGTATATACACACACAATTATAGCACTTACAAAAATTGACATTGTAACCAGAAGTAGATTTTAGGACCTATTTCAAGATGAGGATGTAAATGTTTACTTTATCTAAAAGATTTTTAATATTCTGGTTTTTCTGTTTATTGTTTTAACAAGTATTTATGAAACACCTCAGGGATTTATACATTAGCTTAATTTAAAAATGCAACACAATTTTTGTTGTTTTATAGTTTCATTCTTATCTATATGTGGTATCTAATGTCCAGAATTTTACTTGGTTTTTTTAAAAACAAGTTTTTGTTTCAAGGAATTTTGGCTACATAGCTGAGTTATTAGTTATTTAAAGCATAGTATTTATAACATCGTTAGTTTTATACCCTTTTGGAAACAAGTTAACTTTAATAGGAAAAACAATTTTGCTTTATGGGTTGTGGGTTTGGTGCAAGCAATGCCTTTCACTTGTATTCTTATAATTTGTATAGAATCTAGGTATTCTGGTTTTGGATCAGTTCGTCACTACTGATTGAATCAAGTAATAGAGAGTTTACTCATCACTTGTGTGCTTTTTTGATTTTGGCATGTTAGTTGCTTTATAACACTTATTTCATAAGATTAACAGCTAAGCAAATGACTTTATCAAGACATTTAAATGTATATTAGAGTGCCATGCCATGTAAATGTTGTCATATCATTTAAATGTGCTTATTTTGTGACCGTTTCTTAAATTTGGTTAATTATTAAATATTTAAAATTTTCTCTTCCTGATTCCATATGTATATGGAATATGCACACACATACACACATATATGTATTTTTGTTTGTTTTTGTTTTTGTTTTTGTTTTTAGTCGAGGTCTTTCTCTCTCACCCAGGCCGGAGTGTGGTGGTGCAGTCTCGGCTCACTGCAACCTCTGCCTCTGGGGCTCAAGTGATCCTCTCACCTCAGCCTCCCGAATAGCTGAGACTACAGGTGCAGCCACCATACCCAGCTAATTTTTGTATTTTTTGTAGAAATGGGGTTTTGTTGTGTGGCCGAGGCTGGTATCAAACTCCTGGGCTCAAGCCATCCACCTGCCTTGGCCTCTAAAAGTGCTGGGATTATCTGCCTGAGCTACTGCACCTGGCTCTGATTCCATATTTTATTTATTTTTATTTTTTTATTTCTTTTTTTGAGTCAGAGTCTTGCTCTGTTGCTCAGATGGGAGTGCAGTCGCCCAATCTTGGCTCACTGCAACCTCCACCTACTGGGTTCAAGTGATTCTCCTGCCTCAGCCTCCTGAGTAACTGGGGTTAGAGGTGCGCAGCAACATGCCTGGCTAATTTTGTATTTTTAGTAGAGACGGGGTTTCACCATGTTGGCCAGGCTGGTCTCGAATTTCTGACCTCAAGTGATCGACCTGCCTCAGCCTCCCAAAGTTTTGGGATTACAGGCATGAGCCAGCATGCCCAGGCCTGATTCTATATTTTAAAACTGTACTTTGCTCTATAATGGAACAGTTTAGTAGTAGAATAGATTTATATTTTTAAACCAAATAAATGTGTTTTTCCTGTGTACTTTTTTAGGTGGCAGCAAATGCACACATTCCTCCAGACTACCTCCTTAAAATTTGTGAGAGAATTGGTCCTTTACTAGATAAAGAGATCCCTCAGAGTGTTCCTGGGGTACAGACATTATTAGGTGTCGGTCGGCAGTCTCTGCTACGGGATGCCAAAGGTGAGATTTTCAGAATTTAGAACTGTGATATCGGAGGAAGGAGTGGAGAGTAGCTTATTTTTAGGTTGAGTAAATGTTCCCATGCTTTTCTAAATACTAGTTTTTCTTATCTTGCCAATGTTGTTTTTGTTTTCTTAGTGTACAAATAAATTTTTAGAGACCTAAAAAGGAGTACTTTTGTGTAGAAGTGAATATATAGAGGTAAAGAATATAAAATACCTTTGTAATCATGGAATAGAGATCTCAAAGATTGCTGCTTTGATTAATACAGTATAAATACTTAACATATTCTTTCATTATAATGTTCTTACACTTTATTAGTTTTGATAATGTCATCCTAATGATATTGTGCTTTTTGTAACAGGTAAGTGAAAATTATATGTACAGTTTTAATATTTGAACATATTTAAGCAAAAATATCAACCCATCAGTAATTTTTTTTTTTTTTTTTTTGAGACGGTGTCTTGCTCTGTCACCAGGCTGGAGTGCAGTGGTGTGATCTCGGCTCACTGCAACCTCCGCCTCCCAGGTTCAAGCAATTCTCCTGCCTCAGCCTCTCCGAGTAGCTGGGACTACAGTTGTGTGCCACCTTGCCCAGCTAATTTTTGTATTTTTAGTAGAGACAGGATTTCACTATGTTGGCCAGGATGGTCTCAATCTCTTGACCTCGTGATCCACCCGCTTTGGCCTCCCAAAGTGCTGGGATTACAGGTTTGAGTCACCACGCCTGGCCTCAGTAATTGTTAAATAAGCTTTTCTACTCTGTTCATTTTCAGTGTTTTACAGATTTTTCCCACGTTTTACCTGGAACTTCAATATGTCAAACATATAAAGTGGTATTTGATAAACATAAACATGTAAAAGTAGTCATTAAAGATGTCTATTGGAGTAATAAATACTTAAGGTCTAGCAGCCCATTTATGTCTATGTTTTGTTTAATTAGCATACTATTTTTAGAAATCCTAATTCTCCAAGATAAATAGTTGTGTAATGATACCAGATTTTAAGCATCTCATTTTATAATTTAAGGAAATTCTTAATTGAGTTTATTTGGAAGCTTTCAAGAGAGCTTTTGGCTTTTTGTTTTGAAGCCAAGTTATTAGTAATATTTAATATTTTCTTCCATTTTTTGACTTAAACATGAAAGAGAAAAAAACACAGCTCTTTATAATCAGTTACCGTCTGATATGCGGTGCTCTTATCTGTTATGACACAACTGGCAAGTATTTCATAATACGAGCATGTACCCAAGTATAAATATACCTGAATTTTCCCTGGCATACTTATGCTATAGTTATATCCTTGCTTATACGGTTTTATATGAGTAGACATGTAAGCCTAAAGATCAAGAAGAACTGATGTAAACTTTAAAGCTTATTAATCTGTGATATATTTATATAAGATTCAAATATGTGCATAAAAAAAGCTTTAGTTCAAGGCTAGCTTAGAAATAAAATATCCAGATGATATGTTTAGGTGTTGGTGTTTACCAGTTATAAATTTAGTTTATAACATGTTCAAATAAATACCTATTATTTTCATTTTGGTTTAATAATTAAAAATGTATTCCAACAAATGAAATTAAAATCAGACATTTGCTTCTGAGACATGGGTTAAAAAAAAGAAAAAAACAAACTGCTCAATTCCTTAGCTAACCTTTGTTCTTTTTGTATAGACTGTAAGAGTACACTATGGAATGGGTCTGCTTTTGCGGCTCTACATAGAGGCAGACCTCCAGAACTACCTGTAAATTATGTGAAACCTCCAAATGTGGGTGAGTAATATACCTGTGTGTTATAAACAGGTTGTTGATTCTTTCCTTACTGAACTCAGTAGGAAGACAAAAATAGGTACCAAAATTAAATTGGAAGCATAAACAAACTGTTTACATTCCTGAGGAGTTTCATGGCTAGTCCAGATTTTTAAAACATTTTTACTTAAAGCACGTATAATGTTTTATAAAAGGTGATCTTTGTTTTCTTTATTTCATTTCATTTCACTTCTTTCTTAGCAGAAACTTTTTTTTAATATAGTATAGACGTTTTTAGCCATATGGTTGTCTATTTACATGTCTATGTGCTGAGTTTCCCAAACAAAAATACATTATTTATATGTGTTATTTTCCAAAATTATAATGATGTTATACATTTTTATATGTCTGTATTAAGACAAAAAGTCACCTTTCTTGGTTCCAGTTTAATGAAATTCACGTCTCATTCAAATTATTCTTGGGACATCTCTGGCCAGACCATTATGAAGAAATAATAGTAGTGGTTCCCAAAGAGATCTAGATACAAAACTATTTATATTAAAGTTCGCCCTCACAAAGTATGTGCAAAACCAAGGTGCTGGGTGAGTAATTGCTCCTCTGCTCCATTACTTTCTCACTCTTCTAAAAAATTACGTTATTTTATATAGTGTATAGTACCTACAGAATATGCGTAAAATTTGAAAGGGATGAATTTCAGATAGAAAAATATGAATACTTTTTAAAAAGGAATATTTCTTATACAATAAGCTTTGTAGTTTATCCTCAGAAGTTAAGTAAATTGAAGCTAGAAATATTTTTTAAGATATATTTAGACAAAATCATTGATTAGACATTCATAGGACTTATTCAGGGAAATTGGATACTCTGGAGTATATTGATAAAAATACTCTTCCATAGGTTGGATGTTACTTGGAAAAGTTGAGTCTCATTGAACATGGTATTGCTAACTTTTTTTTTTTTCCTTTCAAGGGTAGTTTGTTTATCCACCAGAATTTTCCAGCTTTAGTCATAATTAATATATTGAATTGAGATAACTTTTGTTATTCATGCATTTACTTATTTTCAAAATACAATATTTTTAGCTATACTGTCAACATTATTTTGTTAGTGTGTTATACTTCATGGGTCACATGTGAAGTGCTAAAGAGCAACCATTACAGTATTAGGTTTACAGGCTTTCTTTATCCCTTCTTCCCTTCTCTCGCTTTTTTTTTTTCTTTCAACTAAGCATATACTTTCAAACTTCTGCTGGTTTTGTAAAATAAACTGTTTACACAGATTGGAATCTGTTTGTTATTCTTTTAGTAATTGCTTAGGAATTGTCATGTCCCTGGCATTGATGCTTTTAAATTCATTTTAAATCTGGCATGTTATTTGGGGAGGAGCTTTTAGAACAGAGGCAATTCAATCATGATGTATTTTCACGTAGTACCTGGTACTCAAGATGCTTAAATTTAAGTTATTTAGAATTAAAAGCCTGACAAAAACTCACTAAGATGGATATGAAATCTTCTTTCCAGTTTGTGATTTGAGGCAGTTTTCTCTTTGTGGATCATAGTTCTCCATAGCTACTTTCAAACCAGTCAGTTTTATAGGTTGCCAATCTAAACAAAACTTAATCATGAAGGTATATCTTTTTTTTTTTTTTTTTTTTTTTGAGACAGAATCTCACTCTTGTCTCTTGTCACTCAGGCTAGAGTGCAGTGGCACAATATCTGCTCACTGCAACCTCCCCCTCCCTTGTTCAAGCAATTCTTGTGCTTCAGCCCTCTGAGTAGCTGGTATTACAGGCATGCGCCACCACACCCAACTAATTTTTTTATTTTTTATTTTTAGTAGAGATGGGGCTTCATCATGATGGCCAGGCTGGTCTTGAACTCCTGGCCTCAAATGATCCACCCGCCTTGGCCTCCCAGAGTGCTTGGATTACGGGCGTGAGCCACCGCGCCTGTCTGGTATATCCTCTTGAAAGTTCTGTTGAATCTTAGAACTATAAAGAACTGACACTCTTTTTCAGGGGTGGGGGGGGTGGGAAAGGAGTTCATGGTCAAGTAAATGTGGGAAACAGCTTTTTAAAAATGGGGAAAAGTTGAATGAATGGAGGAATTTTCATATGTTAAAATGCATTGCTCACCTTAAATAGGGAGCATTTCCCAAGGAATTTAAGCATGGAAACTCTTTCCAGAATATCTGTAAGATCCTGGAAACAGATCTAGAGATCCTGTAAGTTCCTGGGAACAGATTTGGGGAACTTGGTTGAAAATCTTTTTGTTTGCAGCAGAGAAACCCAAAGCTCAGAGAAGTTATTTGATTGGCCTAAGTTACATTGCTTGTCTTCTAAATAGACTATCTATCATATTCATGGTCAGATGTCACCATATTTTCTTGGTATGACAGCTTTACAATCAGATAGCTCCAAAGACAGAGTATATAGCCATGATACTTTTTTAAGTCAACTATATTAGGATATTATTGACATAAAAGGCTGTCTTCTTAAGTGTGCAATTCAATAAGTTTTGACAAATTGTATACATTTTTGTGTAACCACCACCACAATAAAAATATGGAACATTTTTATCAGCCTCAGTATCACTTGCTTAACCCCTGGAAACCAGTAATCTTTTTGTGACTGACTGTGCTTCACGTTATTTAAAATGTCATCTAAATTAAATCATGTAGTAAGTAGCCTTTTGTGTCTGTCTGATTTCACTTAGACCAGTGCTTTTGAAATTCATGCGTGTCATTTCATGTATCAGTAGTTTATTTCTTTTATTACCAAGTAGTATTCCATTCTATGAGTTTACCATAATCTGTTTAATAATTTTGCCTATTATGGATAAAGCTATTACAAATATTCATGTACAGGTCTTTGCATGAATGTCTTTCCTTATTTCTTTGGGTAAATAAATATCTAGGTAGTGCAGTCGTTGGATCATATGTTAAATACAACTTTAACTTTATAAGAAACTGCCAAACTGTTGTGAAAGTAGCTATTATATGTTGTATTCCCACCAGCAATATATGAGATTTCTAGTCCCACATTCTCACCAGCTTCTGATACTGTCAGTTGGTATCTTTTCATGTGCATATTTGCCAGTCTGTAGATCTTTAGTGAAGTATTCACCCGTTTTTTAAATTGAGTTGTTTGGATTTTTTTTATTATTGAGTTTTGAGGTTCTTTATCTATTTTGGGTACAAATCCTTTGTATTTTGCAAATATTTTCTCTCAGTATGCAGTTGTCTCCTCCCTTCTCCCTCCTCTCCCTTCCCCTCCCCTCCCATCTTTTTTAATTGAGATGGGGTTTAGCTTTGTTGCCCAGGCTGGCCTCAAACTCCTGAGCTGAGCAATCACCTGCCTTGGCCTCCCCCTGGGATTACAGGCGTGAGCCACTGTCCCTGGCCCTATGTTATTAACAGTGTCTTTCAAAGAACAGAAATTTTTGCTGAAGTCTAATTTATCAGTTTTGTCTTTAAGATTGTACTTTTTGTGTTCAAAGAAGTATTTGCCTAACTCATGCTCACAGAGATTTTCTCCTATATTCTAGAAGTTTTATAGTTTTGTTGTATATTTAGACTTTTGATCATTTTAATTTTTATATCAGGTATGTGGTTTAGATTGAATTCCTTTTTTTTAAAATTTTTTATTTTTGCATATGGGTGTCTAATTCCAGTATCATTTGTTGAAAAGGCCATCTTTTTCCCCATTGGATTATCGTGGCACATTTGTCGAAAATAATTTAACCATGTGTATATGAGTCTTTCTGGACTCTCTGCTATCTGAGTCTTCCAACTTTGCTCTCATTTTTAAAAAATTGTTTTGGCTTTTCCATTCCTTAGCATTTTCACATAAATTTTAGAATCAGCTTCTCAATTTCCCCAACAAGAAGGTACTGGGGTTTTGCGATTGCACTGAATCTATAGAGACATTTTAGAATAACTGACATCTTGACAGCATTGAGCCTTCTAATCCAGGAACGTAGTATATCTCTCTATTTATGTAAATCTTTAATTTCTCTTAGCAGCGTTTTGTAGTTTTCAGTGTTGAGGTCTTAACACATCTATTGTGAAAACTTTCCCTAAGGATTTTACGGTTTTTATACTGTTTTAAATTGTATGTTTAAGATTTTTGATTTCCAGTTTGTTGCTAGTAGATAGAATTTTTTTTCTTTTTGTTTTGTTTTGTTTTTCTGTATATTGACCTCAGTACATTTATTTACTAAATTTAATGCCTTTTTTTCCTTGAGATTCTTTGTGATTCTTTACATAGATAACCCTGTTGTCTGTAAATAAAGATAGGTTTACTTTTTCCTTTCTGATTTTATGTGCCTTCTATTTCTTTTTCTTAAATTATTGAACTGCTAGTGCCTCTACTACAATGGTGGATTAGGCCGGGTGCGGTGGCTTACGCCTGTAATTCCAGCACTTTGGGAGGCCGAGACGGGCAGATCAGGTCAGGAGTTTGAGACCAGGTTGGCTAACATGGTGAAACCCCCTCTCTACTAAAAATATAAAAATTAGCTGGGCTTGGTAGTGCATGCCTGTAATCCTAGCTACTTGGGAGGCTGAGGCAGGAGAATCGCTTGAACCTGGGAGGTGGAGGTCGCTGTGAGCCAAAATTGCACGACTGACTGCACTCCAGCCTGGGCAACAGATCAAGACTCCATATATATGTATGTATATATGTAGGCAAATTAAAAGGGTGAGAGTGTACAGGTTTGCCTTGTTCCTGATCATAGGGTGAAAGCAGATCATCTTTCACCATTAAGTATAATGATAAATGCCTTTTTTTCGGTTGGAGGATGTTCCCTTCTCTTCCCACTATGCATAGAATTTGTATCATAAATGGACATGTCCCTCTTTTCATTCTGCCCATTATATTTGGAATTACATTAGTAATTTTTCAGGGCATATTTTAACTGGTATTTTATATAAAACAGTGCTACTCAATAGAACCTTCTTTGACAATGGAGATTATTGCAAAGAAAGTAAATATTTATTTTATT